AGGAGCAGCAGCTCTACTCTGAGCCCCTCCCGGATGGCCAAACTTCTCACCCTATCTCTAAGGGAGAGGCCAGCTGACTTTCTTCCATTAATAAATAAAATCACAATTTAAAAATGGATCTTGTATTTACTCAAGTTTCTCATACCCCATATCCAGCTTTAGAGTACAGAGCGCTGGAATTACTAGCTCAGACAGTCATCATGGTAAAAGGAAGATGGAATTGCCGAAAGATGCTGTGGATGTTTCTATCGTGATTTCGGTCTAGGTTTAAGGACTGCTACATCCCTACTTAAGAGAATAATCTTTGATGCCTTTCCAGACTTCTCAGGGAGGATTACGGTTTGTCAGGCAGCCAATTCAGCAGCAGCATTAACACCTTTCATTGCAAGAACAGAATAGAATAATAACCCTTTATTGTACAACGAAAAGCAGTGGGAAGGTGAGAGCCAGCTGCCGGCATGCCGTATTGAACCTGTCAAACTAACCTTTTACGCCCATGCTTTTTGTCATGACTATTCAGTTTATATACGAACACACGCACGAATTTTTCAACCAGCTTATTTGTGCCTAAAGGCTCTCTTGCCCTCTCTAGCCAGGGCCAGCTGGCTTTCTGAAAGAGCACATTCTTCCATCTGCTGCTCAGCTCTCAGTCACAGGAGACGAATCCACCGGCTGCTGTGAAGGCACGGAGACACAACATGCCAACTACAACCCTGAGCTCGCTGCGAGTGCCCAGCAGAGGTGAACACCTCAGGTCCGCAAGACTAAGCTTAACATTTCTTAAAAACAAACAAACAAACAAACAAACAAACAAACAAAACAAAAAGCAACACAAAGTTCGCTTCAAGAGCATCCCTGACAGAGGCGACTCCTGAAGTTAAAGGAAGAGGAAACTTGGCAAACGGTCGCTCTGAACTCTGGAATCACCGTTAACACTGACTCATGATGGAGACCATTAAAAGCAATACACTGCTCCCCGCCTTATGCCGCTTGCCAGGACAAACTCATTCCAGTTCGGGCAGCTCGGGAGCATCCTGTTCACTCTCCCCTGTGCATTAAACATCAGTCACGCGTGTGAGCGCTTCCATTTAAACTGGGCTCAGTGAGTCGTAGCCACTAACTCAACCTGCTAGCTAACTGCTAACAAGAGCTGCTGGCTAACGTTGGCAAAAACTTTAGAAAGAAAAAAAAAAGAGAGAAGTGGAAGCGTTGTGGATGACAGCGTTGACAGGGATCATGTGAGACATCTTACCTCAATTTGCGTATGTAAAGAAACTGGTGAAAGACCTCTTCGTAGCTAGCATTTCTCCTGCCAGCAGTCCAGCATGTGTCTGAGTATCCAGCAGCAGACACTGTGTATGTGTGGACGTGTCTGCAAACGGGGCTGGAAGGCTAACCTTAAAGCTAACAGTTACCAGTTAGCCACCGGCTCGCTAACCTGGACAGTTAGCCCCAGCGGCCTCAAGGTGTCGCTGATTCACCTACAGCGAGCTGCAGAAAACACCGTTGAATAAATCCGCCTGTACGTTGGCGATTTCGAGTTTTTAAATAAATATAGCTAGCAAACACTTTTTTGGAAAGATTTAAGCTCAATATGAATCAATCCTGTGATTTTTATAGTCATAACAATTTGTCATTTATTTTCCCAGTGTAAAAAACAAATAAAAAACTATTATGTATCATAACACTTTGCTTCATGACACCTTGTTTGTAGTTTTAACCTGTTATACACTTATCAACCACCCTGCCTTAGGAATAAAATCAGCAGTCTGTCAGCCGTCAAATCTAATTGGAAAAATTCCTCATACTGCACATGCAGCTGTTATTCCCCACAGCCATATTGGGATCTCTGCCTGCTGGCAAATTTCGGTGCAACATTTTTTTTCTTTATTATCCCTGTTTTGTCTAAAATAATAAAAAGGCAAAATTATAATATTGGGGTAAAACAGATAAACAACCACACATGTGCATCGCTGATTTAACTTAAGGACAGATTTTTAATATGCAATTAATCAGTAAGTCTGGTTTTTTGTTTTTTGTTTTTCCATATTCCATCAGTCTGCTGCCATTAAAGATTAAAATCTTTACATCACAAGTGATCTACAAAAGAAAACTGAATTGGTACTTGGTGCCCATTTTTTTTTCTGTATATGGATAAAAACATTTCCATCATAAATGGGTGCAGAAAAGGTATAAAAAAAACTGCCATAAATTAAATGTCTAAAGTTCAAAATTTCCTTGGAGTGGGTCCCAAATCTTCAAATGAAATGTACGCCCATGTTAAAATAGAGTATCTGCGATATCTTCTAAAGGTGTCTCTAAGGTTGCATCTTATTTTTTATATTACATACTATATATATATAATAAATAAAGTAAATAAATACTAATATATATATATAAATATATATATAAATATAAATCACCGTGAGAATGAAACATGGAAATGTTTTTATCCATATACAGAAAAACAAAAATTGGGCACCAAGTACCAATTCAGTTTTCTTTTGTAAATCACTTGTGATGTAAAGATTTTAATCTTTAATGGCAGCAGACTGATGGAATATGGAAAAAAACCCAAAAAAAACAGACTTACTGATTAATTGCATATTAAAAATCTGTCCTTAAGTTAAATCAGTGATGCACATGTGTGGTTGTTTATCTGTTTTACCCCAATATTATAATTTTCTTCCCCATTTATGTCACAATAAATAGCATCAGAAATTATGACTGAGTCAGTAAATAGAAAATTTGTCATTTAATGCAACATAATTGTGACTGAATTACAATTAATCTCATGGAAACAAATCACCAAACTGACAGACAGGATGTTTCATACAGGTATATATTACAATGTGCCTTGTTATATAATACAGTCAGGTTCTGTTTTTAATAAAAATAAGCACTGGAGGAGAAAGTGATACTTTTTTTTAAATTTTATTGTAAATTGGACATTATGCAAATTACTTTTGCGACTGATGACTTGTTAATTAAGCTTGTTAAGTGGTCACAGAACTTCCTGCACTGAGTGAGAGTTCAGACGATATCAAGTCAAAAGGTAGCCAGGAGTGCTGCAAGCTGGAGAGCGCACACACAGGACAAAGGGTGAGGGGGAAGTACCAAAATGAGAGAACAAGAACATTGAGTGGCTGACAGTGGTGGCTGCTTGTGCCAAATATATCAGTCAATGAACACAAAACCTCTTTTTTTTGGGTGGTGGTGGGGGCACGAGGGGTGTGGGGTGGGGAGTTGTTCGTTTCAGCCATAGTAACTGACTTCCTCTGTAAATGCAGACAAAAATTCTCCCAGAACTGAATTTGTTTTCACCATTATTGCAAATTCTAACAGATTTCCCAAACAAAAAGGTGTGGTCTCACTGATGCAATACTTACTGCACACATGATATTTTATTTCATACGGGTGTTTATGCAAACAAGTGTCCACCCTGTGTCCTATGACTCGCAAAGTTTCCTCAAGATAGATTTTCCCAAATACGATCACAAATTCAGTATACAGGAGAGTGTCTGTATAAAATCAAAACAGTCATCCAATGTGTCATGTGACGTCTGTGAGACCAAACCTTTCTTTGCCCCCGTTTTCTCTAATTGTTTGTACAAAGACGATACAACTATCCAGTCATGCAACATTTTTTTGGATGGGGATGGAGGGGCTGGGGGCGGGGAGTGGGGATCTGACTGTTATCTTTGCGGTTTTTAAGCATTCTGCATCTCTTTGCCAATCTTGTAGCTCAGGATCTTGTTCCAGTCGATCTTGGTACGTGTCACAGGAAGCTGGCGGCGTAAGGCTTTGAAGGTAGTGTCCGACATGGTCTGGTAATTCTCGTTGATGGCCGTCTACAAGGAATGAAATAAGGATGAAGACAGAGAGGGGACTGGATTTAAAAACAAAAAAAAACTACTCAAATAAATCTAAATTTTCCCCAGGTCTGAAGAAGTCTGTGTGGTGTAGGAAAATAGAGTTTTATAACCACATTAGGGTATGTCAGAGTTTTCTCCAGGCCTTGTTGTGAAAGTCCAGCTTTCTCTAAAAAATGTCCAGCTTCATCCAAGTGACTCAGCTTTCTATTCATTGTCACTCTAAAACTTGACTTCCTGTGCTGAGAGTTTGCGAACGTGTAAAATGTTTTCATTATCTCCTGACTTGAGTAACACAAACTCCTCACAACTAAAAGTAACAGATTATCACACAAAACTAAAGCCAAACAACAAAAGATTTTAGTGTGGCAGTAAGTGCTGGAGTCATAACTGTAAAATGTTTCCATCATTTGTGAGGACTTCTGATCTGAGGTGAAAGTTCAGGTTCAACGAAATCTCCTGACATACCTGATAGTCATTCTCTGCAGCCTCCATGATCTTAACAAACTCCTTTGCAGTTGCAGCCTCATTCTGAAAACATGACATTCTTTTGAAGAGGGGAGAGGACAAGGCATCCAACAAAAAAGAAACTTTAAAACCTACACTGCAACTACAGAGCAGAAAACCTCCCCTGGTAGCTGGTACCAGGTCAAAACTTAATTACTAACATAAAATTACAAGTAATCACCCTAAATACATACAAATGTAAAAGTATGGGGAATGATCGTTGCAGCTTCTGCTTGGACTTCACAGAAATACTCACAGAAATTGACATGGACTCCTGAACCTCTTTGTGGCTCACCAGCTGGACATTTCCATCCTCATAGTAATGAACCTAGAAATACATATGGAAATATATAGTGTATTTCTAACCAAAATTTCTTCTGTGCCATGAAATGATTGGAGCTGTAAAAAAAAAAAAAATCAAAGAGCTGTGTGCCAACAAACAAATCTCAAGAGGTCTAACAAACCACTCCCCCCAAAAAAAAGGGGGGGGGGGAGGAAGTGAAGGAAACGACAACAAAAACCAAGAACACAACATTTTAGTACTGAGCTTACGGGAAAAAGTAGACAAGGGTGCAACAGCAATTAACCGAACTTTGTGATAAATAAACAAAACACGGTAAAAAAAAAAAAGAAAAACGAAAGAAAGACAAAGGAAGAAAAAAAGAAACTGAATTTGATTAAAGTCTACATGCAAATGTTGTCAGTAAAAGTGAGTTTGAGCATGCGTGCTGACATGCTTAACACAACACAGTGTGTCCGTTTTACGTCAAAGATTGTTGTTCAGATAACATACCTGGATTTTCATGATTCCTGCCACTTGGGTGGTGGAGGGGGAGATGGTAAATTTCCATTCTGACCTCCAGCGTCCATTCCTAAACAACGAGAAGGAAAGATAAACACACTTCAGTCACTTTTACTTGACTCAGCTAACTGTCCAGTACACTGGCTCAACTGTCATCGCCTATACTGAAAAATAAACAGAAAAGTTATATGACTTTGTGTTTTTGGTCAACAACAGTGGCAATACAGATAGTAAGAAAGGTATTCACAGTATGAAGTATAGCATCACATTTAAAAACCAGTTAATGTGCGCCTTCATTTAAAGCAATGTAAGAGTTTCTTGAGTTAAGATGACATAGAAGAGTTTTGTTAAGATCCATAAAGATGTAACGTGTTACACCTTGTTCACAGAGTTGCTCTGTGTTATGTCAGTAAAAGCATTACTAATGATGGACCAACAGCTATTTACGTCAGTGAACCATCTCCTAATATGTAGTGAACAGACATGGAAATTAGTTTGGACACTCTACTGCCAATTTTCTTAATTTGACTAAAATTTGCATACTACATTGAAGTTCTGGCTTATTACAAAGTGCTCTGATCAAATATGCGGTCTTGAGGTCAGAACCGACCTCCCATTCAATTCAGCCAACTGGGTGACTTTGCAAAGGGTGAAAATCGCAGTGTCCAATTTTTCAATAAAACGCACTTCTATTTTAGTGTGGGGGTGCAAGCATTACAGAAGAGTGAAAAATGATATTTACAGATTTTGACAAATTTTTGAATCATTAAGTTCTAATATATCTTTTTTATTAGATACAAAATCTCCATGTGAAGGTTTTGATCCTTTTCACTGTGATTTGCAAATCAAAAAATAAATAAATAAAATTTATTTCACTTTCAAACCATAGGCTCCTCATTACAGCAGTCACGTACAGTAGTTTTGGGATTACTACACCCAACACTTATAAGACCAATAAGACCCAGCAGCAAAGAGGATTGGTGCAGTTCTTATCCAATTAGATTAACCTGATCAAAATCAACAGAGTCTAACAGTCCAGAGTTATGTGCCAATTACTGCAATGTCCTTAAACACTTCAAGAAACATTTGAGGATTTCAGTGGTTTTATTGTATTTAACATGTAGTTGTTCTTAAGGTTAAAAATCATCTGCCTAAATACTAGTACTGAAAAAAAAGATTCATCTGAAAGCAGAAAGGGAGGAGACACAAGAAATATCAGAAAATATAAGGGAGGGAAAAATATCACACTAATGTTTTGACTGTTTTATACATACCAGAAGTTTTTTGGTTGAAACTGATGGCACTCAATGCACACGATGATAGTTTGATGTCCATCAATGGTTTTCGCATAAATCTGAAGTTAAAAGACAAAAAAGACACTTTCAGATTTCACATGCAACTCAAGGCCACTTTCACTGCTCAACGTGTGCAGAAGTGACACCACACGGTGGTTTTATAGTCAAAACTTAAATTATAAACCTGACCCTGTCATGGTACTTAGAGGATGTCATATATACACAACACATTTAATAAGTAGGACAACAGCTGTTTTGCAAAGTAAAAGACAGGCTTATCTAAATACTGGCCTGCTACTGCTTCCTGCTTGAAACTGATTAAATTTGACTGTACATGTTGTATTTGATCACTAATAACATTAGGCTACTTTTAGCTGCTAATCTGTTGCAAGGGATTAAAAAATAAAAATAAATAGATACCCTTCCTGTTCCAATCCCCAAGGGTTAAACGAATGTGTAAAACAAAATGTTAATCTTGAAATGCAAGTGGAAACAAAATGAAG